AACTCTCAGATATTCCATGCAGCAATTTTTTCACTGATATGTCTCCTAGAGCAAGGGACATAAAGGAAATAAACAAGTGGGACCTCATCAAAATAAGAAGCTTCTGCACGGCTAAATAAAATATCAGCAAAGTGAAAAGGGAGCCAACCGTACGGGAAAATATATTCGCTAATGATACATCAGATAGAGGTTTGATCTCCAAGATACATAAAGACCTCACTCCACTCCACTCCAAGAAGACAAAGATCCAATCAAAAAATGAACACAGGACCTGGGCAGACGCTTTTCCAAGGAGGAGATACAGAGGACCCAGAGACATTTGAAAGGATGTTCAGCATCACTAGCCATCAGAGAAATGCAGATCAAAACCACCGTGAGGTACCACCTCACACCAGTCTGAATGGCCATCATAAACAGATCCACAAACAACAGGTGCTGGCGAGGCTGTGGAGAAAAGGGAACACTAGTACACTGTTGGTGGGAATGCGACTGGTTCAGCCATTGTGGAAAGCAGTGTGGAATTTCCTCAAAAAGCTGAAAATGGAACTGCCTTTTGTTTGATTTTTTTTGTTTGTTTACTTTATTTCACTTTTTAAAAAATTTTTTAAATTTTTTATTTTTTGCTTCTACTTTTTAAAAAAATTTTATTTTAATTTATTTTTTCAAATACATTTGTCTGCCTTCCCCCCACCACTTTCTTTTGCCCCTCCCCCCACAACCCTTCCACTTAGGTTTTGTCCATGAGACTTTGCTATACGTTTCTTGACTTTCCCCTTCCCTTCCTTTACCCGCTCCCTCCTCCCTCCTTCCTTCTTGTCTCTGTTGGTTTCTTTTCCTTTTAGTGTTGCTGGTCTTATTTTCCTTGCATCTTTGTATTGTTGGTTAGGTCCAGTGTTCATAGCAGCACAATTTACAATAGCCAAGTGTTGGAAGCAACCTAAATGCCCATGAGTAGATGACTGGATCAAAAAATAATGGTACGTTTACACAATGGAATACTATGCAGCAGAAAGAAAAAAAGAACTAAACTTCTCGCTACCATGGATGGAACTAGAGAGCATTATGCTAAGCGAAATAAGCCAGTGGGCGAAAGACAAATACCATATGATGTCACCTATAAGTGAAACTGTCTTTTGATCTCGTGATTCCCCTGCTGGGACTATACCCTAAGAATCCCAAAACGCCAATTCAGAAGAACCTATGCACCCCAATGTTCATAGCAGCACAATTTACAGTAACCAAGTGTTGGAAGCAACCTAAATGCCCATCAGTAGATGACTGGATCAAAAAATTATGGTACATTTACATAATGGAATATTATGCAGCAGAAAGGAAAAAAGAACTACTACACTTCGCGACAGCATGGATGGAACAAGAGAGCATTATGCCAAGCGAAATAAGCCAGGGAGCGAAAAGACAAATACCATATGATCTCACCTATAAGCGGAACCTAACCAACAATACAAAGCTGCAAGGAAAATAAGACCAGCAACACTGAAAGGAAAAGAAACCAGCAGAGACAAGAGGGAAGGAGGGAGGGGGGGTGGGGAAAAGGAAGGGAAGGGGAAAGTCAAGGAACATATAGCGGGGACTCATGGACAAAACCAAAGGGGAAAGATTGAGGGAGGGGAAGGGAGAAGGGGGAAGTGAAAGTGGTGCGGGGAAGGCAGAGACAAATGTATTTGAAAAATAATTTATTAAAATTTAAAAAAAGAAGTTAAAAAAATGAAAGTGATAGAAAGTGATATAAATTAATTATATAATAAAAATATTTGAACTCTTTATTAAATAAAGCCTTATCTACACAAAAAAAGAATAGTAATTTAGTTTCTTTGGTAAAATAATGTTCAATAAGCTCCACTCTTTATCAATTGGCTATATTTAAGTGACTGCCTGACCATTTTGGCAACAATTTTACTTAACCAATCTAATTCCAAAGCCAAAAGATTGCCATGCAATCTACATTTATTTATTTATTTTTGGAGAATGAAATGGAAAAAATCTGTTTAGATCTTCTGTACTAATTAAAAAGGAGGCCCACCTGGCAAAAATAGTTCATTAAAGTCTGGAGTCCCATTCAAATACCATGATAGCACCAGCCAAAGAATCTATTAAAGTTGTATTCTTATGAAAGTTCTCATTATTTAAAAATCCCTTTGACTTCTCCACTGACTTTATTCACAGACAGCCAGTGGTTCATAAATAAATGACACTGCATGTAGGAAATCACAGTGTCCTTGAAGAACCGGGTTCTGTCTGAAACGAAGTCCAATATTGTCTAGCTCTTGAACATATTTGGCTCCAGCTATTTCCCTACAATGAACAAAGTGCTCACCTCTGAACACATTGTCTTGGCTTCACCCTGTTCATCTAATGCCACACGTTATCAGTGGCAGACTGTATTCTCCAAAGATAGCCACAACAATATCCCCTATCCCACATACTCTTATAATATGACCTTTACACTCTTCCCATGAGAGAGGAAGTCTATGTCCCCTCTCCTTAAGTTCTGATGGGCTGTGACTACAACAACCAAGGATGTAAGGGAAATAATGCTGTGTGACTTTTGAGGTCGAGTCATGAAAAGCAATGCAGCTACCAACTTTCTAGTGGGGACAATTGCACTCAGATCCCTGAGCTGTCACATGAGAAATCTGACTCCTTGAGGCTACCATGCTGTGCAGAAGCCCAGGCCACATGGACAGCCCAAGTGTGATGCTCTGCTCAGCACTCCCTGTGTTTGAGTCATCCCAGCCTAGGTGAGTAACAAGGCCTCAGAGGATCTACCATTGTGTCACCCCTAACCTTCAAGTCTTCTGAGCTGAGGCTCCAGACACTGTGGAACAGTGACTAAGCCCTTCCCGCTGTGCTCTGTCTGAATCCCTGACCCAAGGAATCTGAACAGAATCAAATAGCTGCTTCATGATGCAAAGTTTTGTTACATGGCAATAGAAACTGGAACATCATTCATTATGATCCTTTATTTGTAAGAAAAGTTTTCATCCGACCACATATAGAAAGCATACTCAACAGAACTTAGGAAAGGCCCAAGGGAATAAATTTTAAACACAGAGTATTTGCTCTTTCCCTGGAAGAAAAAGATTTCTTTATTTATCTGGAACTATGATTAACAACATGCACCATTGATTGGTCACCTGTTTTGTTCTCAAAAGGCAATGTTACTCTATGTATGATCCCTAATAATCACAGACATGCAGAGAAGTTGAATAGTTTGTCCAAAGTCCATGGAAATTAAATGGAAGAGCTGGGATTCCAATTTCCTGAAGGGAAAAAGGTAAGGGGACAATAGTCTATCTAATTTGAACCTGTATACCTTTTGAGGAATTTTCCAACAGCTTCCACTAACATCTCATTGATCAGAACCTGACATGTGGATGACCCTAGTCTCAAGGAAATCTGGGGAAAGTGTTTAAGTTGTTTTTATCACTGACACCAAAAATACTAATGATAAGAAAATGGGAAGAGAGGTTAAGTTGTCAACTTCCAGTTTCTGCCTCACTGACAAAAAAGCGAACATGACACATCAGAAAGGAAACCCCCAATTGTCAACAAACATCAGTTTGGGACCTTCTGTCAGAGAATCTTATTTGAGGAACTTGCCAACTGACCAACCACATGTGCCCTTAATGGTTACCTTGAGCCCAGGGATGTCCCCCCATCACACTTCTGTACCTTCTGGATGATCCTTCTGGTATAATTCAGGGAGAGAAGGAGAACAACAAGGTCTGCATGCAGAGTCCAGACCCTATGAGATTTACTTGCTATGTTGCCATGAAGATGGTTATTTTAGTTATCTATTGATGTATCACTTAGTGGCTTAATGTTCTTCAGTAGGTGAATAGAGAAATAAACTGTGATACATTCAGACAATGGAATACTAAAAAGAAATGAGCTATCAAGACAGTAGCACAAATGCATATTACAAAGTGAAAAAAAGCCAACCTGAAAAGGCTACATACCATATGACTCCAACTATATGACATTTTGGACAAGGCAAAACAATGGAGAGAGTAAAAAGATCAATGGGTGCCAGAGGCTAAGTGGGAGAGAGGGATGAATAGGTGGAGCACAGAGGATTCTTATGGCAGTGAAACTATTCTATATGATTACTGTAATGATGGACACATGTCATTATACATTTGTCCAAACCTATAGAATGTATAACACTAAGAGTGAGCCCTAAGAAAACTGTAGACTTTGGGTCATAATGATGTGTCAATTTAAGTTCATCGATCACAGTAAATATCACTCTGAATTAGGGATGTTGATAATGAGGACAGTATGCATGAATGGGGATAGGGATAAATGGGAAATATCTGTACTTTCCTCTCAATTATCTTGTGAACCTAAAACTGGTTCTTTAAAAAATCTGTTAAAAAACATTTGGTGACTCAAAACAACAATAAACTCTTATTACCTTTGTCTTTGAAAGTCAGAAATTAGAAGTGGCTTAGCTGGGGGATTCTGGCTCATGGCCTCTCATCAATGTGTAGTTAAGACTTTGGCAGGGGCTGCATCATCTAAAGGCTTGACTGGGGCTGAAGGATTATTCCCAACGCAGCTCCCTCACATGACTGGCAGACTACTAATGACTGGAGCATAAATCCTCAAATTATTAACACATGGACTCCTATGAAGGTTTGCATACAAGGCCTTACAATCAGGGCAGTAAATCATCCAGGAGGGTGCAAGGAGGAAACTCTAATATTTTCATAGCCTAGCATTGGAAGACTCAAACTGTCATTTCCACAATATACTGTTAGCTACACAGATAAGCCCTATTAACTATGAGGGGAACACACAGGGGCATGAATACCAAGAGGCTGGAGTCACTGAGCACCAGCTTGGGATCTGGCTACCTCAGTGGCTTTCTGATGCATGAACCAATACATTACACTAAAGATCTGAAAAAAGAATTCATCCCCTGTAAACAAAGTGTTATATTTGAAAGTAAAATGAAATTCAAAAATAATACTTACAAAATCAGACTGAGCCATTTGTACTTCCAAGGGAGTTAAAATGGCAGGCTTGGCGATGTGCAGGTAATGATAAGACCCAGGAAGAATGCCTCCTAGAGGAAATGGCAAGTTTTCCACATTTTAATTTAGTTGTTAATAAGATTAGTGAGCTTATATCTTTACTATAAGACAGAGATGCCTATAATGATGCATTCTACTCAAACTTTCCCACTAAAGCACTGTTATTAGAAAGGAACTCCCTGGGATGGTTGGGCTTTACTTAAGAAAATCAATGTGGATGTGCCATTACAACCCATAATGTAGCTCACAGTGTTCCAAGGAGATGTGTCGAGCTGATCTTGTGTATCCTGTAATTTTTCATAACTCCTGTTACTCTACCTTATACCTCTCAAAGCCAGAACGAGATCTTTAGAATCTTTAACTGTTACAGTGGTTTTCCTATCACTCATCACCCCTCCCATATTTAACCAAAATATTTAAAAAATTAATGTTATAAGGAAAATCAATAAATTTCTTGTCCAATGTTTTAGGAAGCTATCATTATCACATTCTTTTTTGTGTTGTTGATGCTATTACAGATGTCCTCCATGTCCCCCATTCCCTCCGACCCGTCTTTGCCCACTTCCACACAGCCCTCACCCCTTCTCCTGTGGCCTTCACCATACCATTGTCTGTGTCCACAGGCTAAACATATCTGTTCTTTGACTAATCTCTTCACCTTCTTTAATCTAGCACCTTAACCCCAGCCCTCTCCCTTCTGAGATATGTTAGTCTGTTCTATGTATCCATGCCTCTTGTTCTATTTGGTTCATCAGTTTATTTTGTTCATTAGATTCCACCTATAAGTGAGATCATATGCTATTTGTCTTTCTCTGACTTGCGTATTTCACTTAGCAAAATAATCTGCAGGTCCATTCATGCTATCTCAAAGGGTAGAGTTCTTTCTTTTTTATGGCCACATAGTATTCCATGTGTAAATGTACCACATCTTTTTTAATTCACTAATCCACTGATGAGCACTTGGGCTGTTTTCAGATCTTGGCTATTGTAAACAATGCTGCTATGAACATAAGGATGCATATATTTCTGATTGGTGTTTTAGGATTCTTAGGTTATATTCCCAGAAGTGGGGTCACTGGGTCAAAAGGCAGTTCCATTTCTAATTTTTTAAGGTAACTCCATACTGTTTTCAAATTCTTAATATTTCTAGTTTGTCCCAGAAGTATGAGCCTGACCTAACTCTGGTATCTGGCACCCAACCCATCTCTTCTTTTTTTCCATGGCCTCTATCTTTCCCGAGGGTCTCATCGAGAATGAGAAGCAGAGCAGGACTCCTTAAGGCCATGTAGATAGATAGAAAAAGGTGAGGTCTGGAGTACAGGACTTTTGTCTCTTTAGTCTGATGTTCTAGTTACTGACTTATGGTCCATGGATACCCTAGGGAGTCTATGGATAGCTTTGTGTATTAGTCCTTCAACCTTCTAGAAATGAACAAAATTTTGTAAATATATGCATTTTTCTGGTAGAGTCTACCACATTCAAAGATAGTGTTTTCAAAGGTATTTCTCAACCCCTAAACATAAAGAAATCCCATGTTACTCATATGTTGATCTCCTTAGAGATCAACAAGGCTTAGCATATGAACGTGTTCTGTGACAGCTGCAGATGGTTTGGCTTATCCATCTGATATTAGGCTAAAGCCTGGGGTGCTTGGAAGGGTCTCTTTATTTCTGAACTTAGAGTAAGAATGAAAGTTTTGTAAGATGTCAAAGCATCATACCATTGTGACCAGTTGTGAGTAACCTCCGGGCAAGTTACTGATCATACTCCAGTGTTTTACTTTATATGTAAAATGGGACCACAGTTATTATATAGCCCACAATAAAGGCTCAAAATGCAAAAGACCATAATAATAATAATGTCAGGTCCATGATAAATACTTTAAAAATGAGAGAGAGCCCTCACCCGTCTCTGTGCAAACACACTGAGACAGAGGAGTTTCCTCACCAAGCCTAAGAAAAGGATGGAGGGCTGCCCTAGGCATTGACCCAGATCCAACTGCTGGTTTCATCTGGGGGTATAAGGTGACCTATTACACACCTTGGATCTTGGCTCCCTTGTACATGGGGATGAGTTGGTCAAGATCAGCTGGTGGTTCAGTCACAGGCTCCAGGGTTGGGTCAAAGAGATTGAGCATAGCTGCTGCCAGCTGGAAGCCAACTTCTTTGGAACTGAAGCTGCTGTGATTCCACTCATTTGAATAATATCTATTGGAGAATTTGGTGAGGGAACCAGCAGCTCTTATGGCTATGTCGTTGGTGTGGAAGTTTGCATCAATCACAAGTCGGCCATCATAGACAAGGCATGCATCATTGAGTGCTTTAAATGTTTCATAATCCACATTCTTCTCACAGAAGCTGAAGAATATCTAATAAGTTAACAATCACATTGTTACTTAGTTATCACTCTTTACTTTCCCAAGAGTGTGAACATTCAACAGGACATTATTTGGAGAACACACACAAAAAATCTAAATCTACTAAAAGTTTGTCATATTGCCGTGTGTGAGAGTGAGAGAAAGACAGACAGACAGACACTCCTGTTTGGTAGGAAGAGCAAATTAAGGTCACCAAATGTCATTCTTTTATTTTCTTTTTTTAAGTTTTTTAATCCTCACTTGAGAATATGTTTACTGATTTTAGAGCAAGAGAGAGGAAAAGAGGGGGTGGGGGGAGAGAGAGAGAGATATCGATGTGAGAAGCATCAACTGGCTGCCTTCTGTACACGCCCCAACTGGGGAACAAACGTGCAACCTTTTGGGGTAGAGGATGATGCTCCAACCAGCTGAGCCACCTGGCCAGGGCATGCACTCTTTTGTTTTTATCACTCAATGTAGTCATCCAGTGTAGAGAGGGATGCCAAATGATGGAATACCTACCAAAAGAGTCAGCATTTTTTCCTCACAAGGAGGTTTACAGTTCATTGAGACACTACTTTCCCCTCATCCTCCTATATTTTAAATAGCTCTGTCTTAGCCTTCTTCCATCTTCCTCTTTCTTTTTCTGTGTCTGACACTTACATCTCTCTAGGTTCCTTCTTAGAGTCACCTTATCTAATCTTGAGTCTTCAAGCTGCCCCATGCCTGGTCTTTTAAATTCAAAAAATACCATCCCTGCAAGATGCTATAGAGAAGATGATAGGCCCATCAGCCTCAGCATCCACCATGTCTGAGCTCCTTTCTTATTGTCTCCTGCCCTGGGATGGCACAGTCATTGAATAAATATTTATGGGGTACCTACCATATGCCAAGCACTGTGTTGTAGAAGAGTCACAAAGCCCTCTGCAGTGTCCTTAGAAGTGATCTGTATGCCCCCTCCATTCTCTGCCCAAATTTTAATACTTTCTCCTGCTCATCTGAACATTATCTTCTACATTAATGTTGAAAGTCATTAAAACAATCCAAGTTAGTTGTTTTTAAGTCTTCAGTTGTTGTTGAAACAGTTGAGGTAAGCTCAAACATTTAATTTTTACTTAAATATAATTTGCCACCCTATTTGAAGCATGCTAAAAAAAATAGTATGGATCCTCATCACACTGCTGGCCACTTCCCTGCTCCCTTTACATTCCTCCTTTACCCACCTTATTTGCCCCATTCTGTACAAAAATTAGCTGTTCTGGGCCCAAAGTATCCACTTTCCATATCCCTTCCCCAAACCCATGAATGGTACATGAATGATGAATGACCCTGTGGTAGTGATTAGTCATGCATAACTGTAAATTCAAGCCTAAATTAGTTAAAATTAAACAAAATTTAAAATCCAGACCCTCAGTTGTAGTGGTCTATTTCAAATTCTCAAAAGCTACAGGTGTCTACTTGCTGCCATATTGGACAACACAGATATAAATGATTTCCATCCTCACAGAAAGTTCTATTGGACATGAAAAACTCACATCCATCATCTCAGTGATGCCCTTTATTCTCCCCCATGGACCCAACATAATCCTTTTCCTTTTCTATGTGTCTGTTCACTCACTATGTAACCCTATCCCAGTTACTCCCATCCCAGGCACCTTCTTTCTTTTGAATCTCTTAAATTCTTCCTGTTTTATAACTTTTATTCAGTGACCACAAAAAATATATATCTCTGAGTCTGTCTCTGACTCTGAATCTTTGTCTCCTTACTCCACTTTGTCTTACCTACACTCCTCTCCCATCCATATAAAATAGATTTCTCATATAGAAATATAGAAAGCAATTTTATTTGAATTGAAATTATACATTAAAAAAAAGTAGTATCAACCTCTTGAGTCCTTGAAGGTGCTCAAAGTCCCTTCACCATCTCCACAAAAGTTCTTCAACCTATCCAGTATTTTTCCTAATTAAACCTACTTTTTGTTAAGTAGAAAATTAAGTCTACTAATTCTTATTTTCCTGGGTTTTTAAAATTACTCATATTGCAAAAGAATTTTTTTATACTGTTTTGGTGTAGGCATTCACAATTTGGCTGCATTTGGGGTTTCATAGGAGTTTGTGGGCTAGACAGAAAAGCAAATCTAACACTGTTCATGGGAACACATGTTCTAAGTTACAGGTCTCTCAAACACAATTCATGTGTTCCTGTAATGACAACTGAATATTACATATTGGATGAAATATGAAGTAGAAATACCTAGCCACATTGGTATTGTTCTGAATAAATGTTTAAGATGACATATTTATAATTCAGACTAGGGAGAGCAACACTCCCTGGTTAGCAGATCAAGTGTCACCAACCTGATAAACATCATTCATCATACACTATGAAAAACACTTTGTTTAGAAAAATTTAATTTGAGACTTCAAGATGGTGGAGGAGTGAATGGAAGTTACATTGATCTCCTCCCAGGACCATCTGGAATTATAGCTAAATTGAGGAGAACTCACCTGGAACAAACAACTAAAAAACAGTAAGAGAAGAGCCTTAACACCTCGGACAGAGGAATCGGTTTTAGCACAATGTAACTAATAAGGAGTGTGGTAGAGACTCAAGGAGGCTAGTGGGGTTGCCGATGGCAGCAGCACCAGAAGGATATTGAAATGGCTACTTGGATCCCTGTGAGAAGAGTGGGGTCTCAACCATAGGCAGGGATTTCCAGCGTACAGCACTGGAGCTCAAAAAGTACACAAATAACAGCCAGCTACGAAAACCAGCAGGGTTCCTTTCCGACAGAGATGGGTGGCAGGAGATGCAAAGAGCTGTTTAAAGGGCCAGTGCGTACATTTTTATTTGCAGCCACTTACTCTGGGCTCCAGCAAAGGCGGAGGCAGAGTGGGCTGGAGCTGCCTGAGGAGAGACTGGGGAAGGAGACTTTGAGTAGAGAACAGAGAGAGTACAGGTGGGGTCACAGTGCTGACTCACTCCTGATATGGCAGTAGACATCTTTCTCAGTCAGACCACTCCTCTGGGCCACAGCAGCATGAGAGGACACAGTAGCCCCGCCCCAACGAGGCTCTGCCCTGGCCCAGTGGTGCACAAGCTTGACGGCTGAGTACAGGGTAGCAGTCACAGACAGTACATCCCTGGCTAAAGGGGGCACAGAGTGGTCTAGAGACACTTGAGGAGAGTCTGGAGATGGAGGCTTTGGGTAGAGAACTGAGGGATTAGCCAGCAGGATCCTGGTGCTGATGCCGCCCCCATGTGGCAGCCACCATCTTGCTAAGGCAGACCACTCCTGAGTGGCAGAAGCATGAGAGGACACAATAACCCTGACCCAGGAGGGACTCTGGCCCACCCTGTGGTGCCTAAACCTGATTGCTGAATGCAGAGTGACTAGATTAACAACTGAAGGAGACAGCCACAGATAATAGATTCCTGGAAGTCTCAAAAAGACTGCCTGAGGTCAGAAGGGGTCAACAGCTGACATCATCAGAGGCAGATCCAAAAAAAAAAAAAAAAAATACAGCGGTCTCCTACCTACCATGGAAATTCACAACAAAAAGTCAGGGAGTCAAGACATAGCAATTTAAGAAGCAGAAGCAGAAAAAGAAGAGTCTCACAAATGATGTGAAGACAAAGAAATATCCCCCAATCTAAGGAAAAGGAGGCATCCCCAGAAAGAGGACTAAATGAAATAGAGGCGAGTAAACTATGAGATATTGAGTTCAAACAATGATTTTAAGGAAGCTCAGTGAGATCAGTGTACTCAAAGATTTTTACCAAAAACTACAGAAGAACTGCAGAGGACACCATGAAGAATTTACTGAAAATTATATCAGTATGAAAAAGGACATAGAAGCTATCAATAAAGGCAAGAGAAATGATTATAATTTCTGAGTTGAACAACACAATAGAAGGAATCAAAAGCAGGCCAGATATAGCAGAGGACTGAATAAGTGAGTTGGAGGACAAGGTAGAAAAAAGCTCCCAGAAAGAGCAAGAAAATGAAGAGTCAAAAAAATGAAGGGATGTTGAGGGAAATGCAAGAAAACCTGAAACGTAATAATATCCATATAATAGGTATACAAGAAAAAGAGGAGCAAGGGATAGAAAACCTGTTTGAAAAAATAATGATGGAAAACTTCCCTAAGTCTGAGGAGAGAAAAAGTCACACAAGTCCAGGAAGCACAGAGAGCCCCAATCAAGAAGACCCAATGAGGTCCACTCCAAGACACATCATCAATAAAATGGCAAATATCAAAGACAAACAGAGAATCCTAAAGGCAGCAAGGGAGAAACAGGTAGTAACATACAATGGAGTCCCAGTACAGCTAGCAGCTGGCTTCTCAACAGAATTACTACAAGTCAGAAAGGAATGGCAAGAAACATTCCCAGTCTTGATGGCAAAGGCCTGCAACCAAGACTGCTCTACCCAGCCATGCTTTCAGTTAAAATGGAAGGTGAAACAAGGAGTTTCCCACACAAAACAAGGCTAAAAGAATACGTCTCCACCAAACCAGCAATGCAAGATATGCTAAAGAGACTGCTTTAAGAAGATGAAGAAAAACAGTGAGAAAGAGAGGAACACAGGTACAAAGGAAAAAAATAAATAAGTACCTATCAATAATAACTTTAAATGTAAATGGATTAAATGCTCAATCAAAAGACATAGGGTAGCTGAATAGATTAAAAACAACATGACCCACACATATGCTGCCTACACGAGACCCACCTCAGAACAAAGGACTACAAAGACTGAAAGTAAAGGGATGGAAATAAATATTCCAAGCAAATGGGCAGGGGAAAAAAAGCTGAGTAGCAATATTTATATCAGACAAAATAGATTTCAACCAAGACCACAAAAAGAGACCCAGAAGGACACTTCATAGTACGAAAAGGAGGAAACCATCAAAAAGACATAAACATTGTAAACCTATATGCACCCAACATAGGAACACCAAAATACATGAGGAAAATCTTGGAGGACTTCAAGAAAGATATAGACAGCAAC